CATAGGGGCACTTGCCCCACAGGCTGGAGCATCAGGGACAGTCTATATGGGAGTGCGCACCCCCAGAGTGGGGGCATTGCCATGGGGTGTCACCCCACTGAGCCCATCGTCGTCGCACCTCGGCGGGTTCATCCCCTTGGGGTCAGTGCAGCGTGGCCACCCCTCGGGGCTGGAGCCCTCCGGCCACCCCATGCTGACCTGATCCTCTACCCCCCTGCTTGCTCTGCAGCGAGCAGTGTGCGTCCATCCGAGCCTCTTGGCGAAGGATTTAGTCAGGAGCCCTGGGGACGGCTGGTGGTGTCAGGAGGCAGATGTGCTGTCCTGCCAGATGTGGTGTCACTGCTCAGGCTGGCACGTTCTCTGGCCTGTGCAGCCACAGCCAAGGCAGCAGTGAAATCTCTGGATCTGCCTGCCTGGAAATGCGACGTGCTGACAGTGACCCAACTATCTGACGTTTTGTGTTTGGTGCTGCCAATCCCACCAGCCGGCACAAAATTCTCCTGTTTTGGTCCTTCTGTGGTTTTGCTGGTTTAGTCTGGTCTTGCTTGAAAAATGCCTGCCTTCTGTAGCGTGTGTGCAGCTGTGATTTGGGCATAGGAGGGCTGGGATTTTCTAGGTGATGCTTTGATTTTTATTTTATTTTTTGGCATACTTTCCTTCTTTCGTATCCTAGGAGAGCATTGAGTGGGTCTGTTTAACTCTGCCTCTTGGCCGTTGCTGGTTTTGGAGCCAAACAGTACATAAAATTCCTTATAAATTAATGGGCTTTTAATGGATGCATATATTTTACGGCTTCAGTACGTGTGGAGAGAGAGAGAGACGTGTTTTAAGTACAACTCTTTGAAGTTTGCTGTTAGTTTTTGTTCGGTTATGTGAAAGACGGTGCTACTTGGCAAAAGCAGGATGGTTTTGCTGAGCCGGGTTTGAGGCAGCGTGTATTCAGCATAGCTCTTAGCACTCAAATGTAAAGTTGAGCAGTGATTCAAGTGAGGGGTATTTGATTTAAAGGTAACAGGGCGGCGCTGTGTTTTCGTGACACCAAGCTCATCCTGGTTAGCTGGCTCTCGGAGCAGGGATTTCGGCGTGTAGGTGGACACCGGTACAACCTCGTGTTGTGCATTTTCCCTTTTCCCCTGTTTGGATCAAAGGGACCCTGTTGCCAGAGCTCTATTAAAAGAATTTCTTTTTAAATCCCTTCTCCCTAGAGCTTGCATCCCACGTTGGGGACGAGGCATGCAAGCGTGCCCTGGCGAGGCTGGGCAGTGTGCACCCTGATGGCTTTTGCTTCTGCTCCCAAGTTTGTAAAAGAGCCGGCTTTGCCCCTTCTGGTTGTGTCAGTTAATACGTGGTGATCGATATATTTACAGTTATTACCATTTTGTCTTCCCTGACGGGAAGCACGTGTCTATGGACATGCAGGGTGCCTGTGCTCCGAGCTGTTTGTGCTGTGCGAAGCTTCGGGAACCTGGTTTTTAATTGTACTTGAGCTTGGGTTTTGCCTCTGGGATGCAAATACCCGTTAGCACCCTGTACGAAGTGGGATGCAGATTCTCCTGGTTGAGTGATGAATCCACGCTGGGATCCGTTCCTTGCTTGACATGAACTATCCCGGTAGATCCAGCAAGCGGCCAAGCAGCACAGGCAGGGGCTCCCCCCACTTTCCCTGGGTTATGGTGCTTATTTTATCCCATTTTGCAGGCAGGAGGGGGATTGCTCT